GTCGCGCAAGTAGAGGAGGGGGACCACGCTCTGTTCTTGGTGCACGGGAGTGTTGAACTACGACAAGAAACAGGGGAGGAGGAGAAAGGTTCAAGCTTTCCCCTTCCCACATCGATCGGTTCCACCCTGCTCCACCTCGATGAGTCGCGTGCCCACGCCTTCCTCGGCATAGGTACCGGCGACGACAAGATCGACGGCTAGTATCTCAACACCGGCGCCACCCACCACATGACTGGTTGTCGTGAGTTCTTCTTCGACCTGGACTCCGGCGTGAAAGGCTCCATCAAGTTCGGCGATGCCTCCGCCATCGAGATCAAGGGGGTCGGCTCGGTCGTCTTCATAGCCAAGACTGGCGAGCACCAGTTGCTCACTAGTGTCTACTACATCCCCACGCTGAGGAACTCCATCATCAGCTTGGGACAGCTGGATGAGAATGGCTCACGCATGGAGATCGAGCATGGGATACTGCGCATATAGGATCGCTGTCGCCGACATCTTGCTAAGGTGAACAGAGGCGCCAATCACCTTTATGTTCTCCATGTGTAGGTGGCACAGCCCGTGTGCCTTGTAGCCCGCCGTGATGACGACGCTTGGCGTTGGCACGAGCATTTTGGGCACCTCAACTTCGAGGCCCTGAAGCAGCTCGGCAACAAGGAGATGGTGCGGGGCATGCCACGAGTTGAGCATGTGGAGCAGTTCTGCGACACCTGCATCCTCACCAAGCGGTGGCGGTGGCTCCCCTTCCCCCGCTAGGGGAGCTTCTACGCCAAGGAGAAGCTGGAGCTTGTACACGGCTACCTCTGTGGCCCCGTGACACCGGCTACACCTAGAGGATGGCGCTACTTCCTCCTCCTTGTCGACAATGTGTCCTGCTACATGTGGGTGGTCCTGCTCGGCACCAAGGCGGCAGCTGCGGAAGCCATCAAGCGCCAACAAGCTGCTGTGGAGGAGTGTGGCCACAAGCTTCGGGTGCTGGGCACGGACAATGGCGACGAGTTCACGACGGCTGAGTTCGCTACGTACTGCACCAACGAAGGGATCCAACGCCACTACTCTACACCGTACACCCCACAGTAGAACGGCGTCGTCGAGCACCGCAACCAGACGGTGGTGGCTACCGCCCGCACCCTCCTCAAGCAGAGAGGGATGTTGGCTATCTATTGGGGGGAGGTGGTGATGACTACCATGCATCTGCTCAACCGCTCGCCGACCAAGGCGCTTGATGGCAAGATGCCATATGAGGACTGGCATGGGCGCAAACCAGCAGTCAGCTACCTGCGGGTCTTCGACTGCCTAGCATTCGTCAAGGAGCTCAACCACATCGGCAAGCTCGACGATTGTAGCTCACCTAGAGTCTTCATCGGCTATGCTGAAGGGGCTAAGGCCTATCGCGTACTCAACCCGGTGACGCGGCACGTGCGAGAAGCGCGTGATGTTGTGTTCGACGAAGACCGTGGCTGGGCATGGGACAAGGCGGCTGACGATGGATCGGCAGCAGCTCTTCGCGACTTCACCATCGAGTACGAGTGGGCTAGAGGACCAATGCCGACCACTTCACCAGCTTCGTCAACCACTTTACTAGCTTCGCCGACCACATCAACAGCTCCGCCGCGCTGGCCTTCACCAAATTCGGGGGAGATCGAAAGCTCATCGGCGGCGGCCGGAAGCTGGTCGTCAAGCTAGCCAACCTCACCACCTCCGTCCCTAGCTGCGGCACCTTCTGCTTCGCCCGCTGTGACATCAGCGCACGTAGGGCAGCCGGAGATCGAATACGCGATGCCACTGGAGGATGATGAAGACCGTCTAGACGCCTACTACGACGATGAGCCTCTATGGTATCGCACGATGGCGAACATCCTCGGCGACCAGTCTGCTTTAGAGGAGGTAGAGCGGCTCTTCGCCCAGCTTCATCTGACGCACGCCGGTGAGCCAACCACTTCTGCTGAGGCACATGGTGATCCAGCGTGGCGAGCTACGATGGAGCAGGAGCTCAAGTCCGTCGAGCAGAACTGCACTTGGGAGTTGGTGCCACTGCCCAATGGCCACCGCCCCATCACCCTCAAATGGGTGTTCAAGCTCAAGAAGGATGAGCAGGGCGTGGTGATCAAGCACAAGGCGCAGCTAGTGGCGCGCGGCTTAGTCCAGCAAGAGGGGATTGACTACGACAATGCCTTCGCCCATGTGGCGCGCATGGAGTCAGTTCGTGTCCTCCTCGCGCTGGCGGCTCAGGAGGGGTGGCAGGTCCACCACATGGATGTCAAGTCCGCTTTCCTCAACAGCGACCTTAAGGAGGAGGTGTACGTGCGCCAGTCACCGGGCTTTGCTGTCGTCGGAGAAGAAGATAAGGTGTACCACATGCGCAAGGCCCTCTACGGCTTGTGGCAGGCCCCTGCGTGCCTGGAACACGAAGCTCAATGCCACGCTCAAGAAGATGGGCTTCGAGCAGAGCACGCGTGAGGCGGCGATGTACCGGCGGGGCATCGAACACAATGTCCTACTGGTTGGCACCTACGTCGACGACCTCATCATCACCGGCACTGAAGGACAGAAGGTGGAGGCATTCAAGGCGCAGATGAAGAAGGCGTTCGACATGAGCGACATCAGCCTCCTCTGCTTCTACCTCGGCGTCGAAGTGCGCCAGGACGCCAGCGGCATCGCCCTTCGCCAGACCCGCTACGCCAAGCGCATTCTCGAGCTCGGCGGCATGACGGGCTATAATCCAGCCTACACCCCGATGGAGGAACGGCGGAGGAGGTCGATCCAACTTACTACCGGCAGCTGATCGGGAGTTTGCGCTACCTGGTCCATACCCGGCCTGACCTTGCGTTCGCCGTCGGGTATGTGAGGCGGTTCATAGAGCGGCCCACGATGGAGCATCTGCAGGCCGTCAAGCACATTCTTCGCTATATGGCGGGCACCCTCGACTACGGTCTCCACTACAGCAGGGCCCCGACACGGCGCGCTTCATCGGCTACTACGACAGCGACCTCGCCGGCGATGTGGACACCAGCAAGATCACGACCGGGACCATGTTCTTCCTCGACAATTGCTTGGTCAGCTGACAGTCCCTCAAGAAGAAGGTGGTGGCCCTCTCAAGCTGTGAAGCAGAGTACATCGCCACCACCACTGCAGTAACTCAGGCACTATGGCTGTCAAGGATGCTAGCAGAGCTCCTTGGCAAGAATTTGGATGTGGTTGAGCTGAAGGTGGACAGCAAGTCTGCTCTAGCTCTGGCTAAGAATCCTGTCTTCCATGAAAGAAGTAAACACATTCGCATCAAGTACCACTTCATCAGGGATTGCTTGAAGGATGGAAGCATCAAGGCCAGCCACATTGCCACCACTGATCAGATGGCTGATATCCTCACCAAGACACTGGGAAAGTCCAAGTTCCAAGAGATGAGGGAAAGGATTGGGCTACAGCATATCACTTCCAGTGCTCGGCACAAGGCTTAGGGGAGAATGATAGATAAACCCAGTGCCCTGCACTTTACCTTACTTTTCTGCACTTTACCTTTTCTGGGCTTCCAAGCTATGTATTAAAAATATGCTCAGCATCTTAGAATATGCCAGAGCAGGTGAGGATGAGAGCAGCCGGCTGCTAGACCTTCTTGTAAGATAAACCAAATCCTTTGCATTTCAATTCCAACAAGCGATCTATGACCAAGCTGCCCTCTGGATTTTTTTCCAATCCGAATGTGAGATCTATTAGGGCCAACGGTGTATATAGTTACGCAAAGAAATCCAGCAAAGGCATTTCGGATGCAGAGAAGATAGAATATTGCGTGAACGACCACTGACGCGTACCGCCGAGCGAGAGCGGGGCCTTCAGCCTTCTCCATGTGTCCAGGAACAAATTCCAGAAGGCTACCTTTGCAAATGTCAGATCCAATGCTTATTCCTTTCCTTGCGATTGCGATCATACCTTCAGCCTTCTCCATGTGTCCAGGAACAAATTCCAGAAGGCTGCCTTTGCAAATGTCAGATCCAATGCTTATTCCTTTCCTTGCGATTGCGATCATACTAAATATCTTTGTTTCCGGAAGATAGGGTCATTCTGCAAACCAAACAGGCTGCATACTTGTGCGGCAGGCCAGTACCTGGGCGGCCGCCCCACATAGGCAATCTAGCATAGCATAAATTGTACACGGCTGAATTTTGATATAAACATCAACTCAGATCAACAAAAACAAGACTTGGCAATGAATGGTCATGTCACGACCCCAGGTGTAAAATCAAACCATGTGCCAGTTATAAAAATAAATGTAATGCTGTGCAGACATATAGTTTGAAATCTCATTTGGAATGAATCACAAGGCACAACTGCATGTGAAGTTGCATGTACTGCTATAAGTTACTAGAACGATGATAGTTTCTCCTAAAGTAGTATAACCATTGTGCGAAAACTGGTGTGTGTGTGTGTGTGTGTGTGTGTGTGTGTGTGTGTGTGTGTGTGTGTGTGTGTGTGTGTATGATTGATTTTACCTGCGTAGTATGTCTCTTAATAAGTATTGAGATTGAAGTTATTAGCAAGTAAAAGACCTCAAGTCCTCATTCGTTCTCATATGCCGACTGCCGGACGCTTGCCATCCCCGACGGGCCGGCAAGACGCTCGGCTCCTCTAGCACAAACACTAGCAGCTGCTGGATCATTATTGGGCCTTTACTCGTCTTATCCAGTGTTGTTGCCACGTTGGCCGGACCATCCGTGAGCCGTGGACAGTTGGGTCATTCGGCCTTTATTCCTCTCTATACGATGTCTAGCTGCCCTCAGCATTTTTTTGCGACACTAGCCTACAACTGTTTTGAGAAGATAAACTGTCTTCCAGATTTGAGATTTATACGTTAAACAAGTAGTACGTATATATTGGTGAACACTATAATAACATAACTCAATCCTTTGGCGAAACATGATCTCCAAATTTTTTTCTTGTTCTAGCTGCTCCACTAAGCAAAATAACACAAATTCAGAATTCCCTTGTCCGAATGAAAGCATACATCACTACTCCTCCATAGCTTCACCGCCCACGGCGACCTCAACCTTCTGCTTCAGAGGTGTGATCTTTGTGTACAGTACCTCTGCAAACAACAGAATCATGCATTTACTTTATACCGTTCAATATGCCATATCCTATATATAACAATTCATTAGCAAGGAACTCACCAGTCTGCCCCTTGGTGAAGCTGTATCCCTTTGAACTAGCATAAGTTCTGGGATTCGGCAACTGGTGGTTTCTCAAGTATTCTGTCTTCCCCTGGTAATGTCAATAAGTGTTGGTTAGCAAAGCACTCTGAAGGGTTACTAATAATATATTCATGTTCTTCGATTTGCTCAAAAGGCATCTCTGACAAAGAGCAGCATGCAGGATGCAGTGTTACACAGTTAGCTCAAATGAGCATTATTGGAAATTAGTGATCTCAAGTGTAAATCAAACCATATGTAAGGGCAAATATATATCATATCAAAGTTGACAAATATAATGCTACGGATATAGTTTGAAACTTCATTCTCTAATATGTAAATAGTACATTTTGTTTCGATTTTTATTCAACACTTGCAGTGTTCTGTCAATTTCACTCAATAAAACAGAAAATGCATCTTGAGGTTGAGATTGATCTATGTCCCTCACGAGATGAGGATGTTATGCTCTAAAACCTTGTAAACACATGTTAATTTGGTCTTTTGCAATGGATTCGGACCAGGGCTTGGCTCTGTAAGGCTGGAACTCTATAAAAACTGAAAATGCATACCTTCATTATCACACAGACATCAACGTTGCTGCCACTGCCAAGGTCATTGAAGATACCAGCGCAGATCGCGTCAGACACCAGTTGTATCCCTCCTCCTCTAGAAGATAAAAGGAATTTAATATTAAACTTTTGCCATCAAACCAAACACCATCAAATGCAGCTTCAGTCACCACAGAAGACAGTACTCCATTACCAACATAGTTAAATGCAGAAACTATTGCACTGGTTCACTTACAGTAAGCCCTTCTTTGTATTTTGATTCAAACACTGACATTGCAGCAAGAGAACCAGAACCCATCGTTGCAAAAGGAAGGGTATCAGTGGACCCGTGTGGATAAACCTGCACATTCCAAAGTTAATGTAACTACCCTGCATCAAACTTTACATACAACAAGTAAAAAACAGGTATGCTCAGTTACTAACAGTGTGTAGATGTGGTCCAGTACAATCCACTCCACCAAGAACAAGGGCAGCACTGACATGGCCTTGATACCTAACATAATGGCATAAGCAGGTCAGGTGTTGGCACAATGGCAGAAAGTTGTAAATGTGCCTGTGAGAGGAGCTCACTTGAAGAGGTGTGACTTCAGTAGTGTAAGAGAAGTTACGACTCTTGATTCGCGGCCGGTTGCATATCGGTGAAGCTGTAGCTGGGAGCTTACCATATCTGAAGTAAATGAATCAAATGTCGATAAGGAATTCAACGGAAGAAATGAGAGTGTGAAAAGGCAGCAAGATCTCATTCTTTTAGTCATCTACCTGTAACAGCCTCCGTGTCAGCAGCAGTTCCTGCTCCACAGCAATATATATTGGGCGCCATAAAGTGTATCTTCGCAGTTCTTATCAGCAACTATAGGGCCCTCAGTTGCCCTTGTATCTGCCCCAAGAACAACCCCATCCTAGATATAGAAACATGGCTTAGTCCAACATTGACCTCAATGAATATGGGCAAATGAAACAATGCCCATCCAAACACAATGTTGCAAGGTCTTTCATCTATTAGCACTGGTGTATATACTAAAAATTGATATAAAGTTGTTAAGACGAAATTACTATCCATCAGATTTGTTCAGTCACAATTTGATGCAAATCAGGGTTGAATTAGGATTTGTCAGAGAATCATTTATGGAGTATTTTTCGTTAGGATGAAGAAATTTGTATGCATACGTGTTCCCCTAAGCTAATACAATGGAAACCAACATAACAAAAGAATGGGGGCTTTCATCACTAGGAGGATGGTTTGCGCTGAACATTTTCCTAGTTTGTATCATCAGCAGTTCAGCACATACAGCAATGTGGTCATGTGCGACATGAATTTTAAGCATGCGATTGACATCAGAAAGATTTTTCCAATGATTAGTTGAGATGCTCATGCCTAAAAATTTGCAGACACAGCAATTGTCAAATACCAAAAGGTATTTATTCAATCAAAAAAAAAGTTGCCAGAGAATCATTTGCAGAGCATGTCTGCATCATCAGGATGAAAAAAAGTTGTATGCATAACTTTTCCCCTAAAATAATACTCCTACAATGGAAACCAAACCAACATAACGAAAGAATGTGGGTTCTCATCCCCTTGGAAGGTGGTTTGCACGGAACATTTTCCCAATTTGTATTATCAGCACGTGTAACAGGAAGTTAAGCATGGGATTGATATCAGACAGATTTCCACCCCACCTGCCACACACACACACACACACAAAAGTTCAATTGAGCAGCGCAGCGCTCTAAAAATATGTTCCGAGGCCTAATTAACATAAACGATCCAACTCCGCACGAGGAGGCTCATGGCGACCAAATTCGGGCACACGGGTAACTCAGAAGCCACACCAATTGCAGGAATATACCAGAAGGCAACACAACGAGAGTAGGGTGCCGCACCTGAAAGACGAGGCCGACGATGGTTGTCCCGGTCTTCCTGAATCCCGGGAGCTTGAGCCCGTCCTTCTCCAGCATATTGTTCCGGCGGCACAGGTCGAAGCTGAACCCGCCCTTGGCCGGAAGATCCATGGAGCCCGTCATCGTTCCTGCACCCGCAAAGGCAACGCCACGCATCAAGGTCACGGCGAATCGTAAGCGGGTGAGATCCAAATACAAATCGCTTGAGGGTTCGGCGCGCGCGCGCAGCAGGAAGGGAAAGAGGAGGGCAGCGGCGGTACCTGGTGGATGGATGGATGCTCGTCGTAGCTTAGGTGAGGGCGCGCGGCGCACCTGATCTGACGTGCGCTCCGGAGACGAGACGAGGCGAGGCTTCCGCTTGCGGTGTACTACCCTTTTTGTTTCCTTTTTTTTAATTCACTGGAGTTGGAGTTGGATTGGGGGAGAAGAAAGAAGCGACGTCCGCGCCAGTTTCCGTGCTGGGCTTTTGTTTCGATAGGATGGGCTTTTACATGGATGCCTCTGAGGATTGTTGACCGAGCAGCAGCAGCAACCGGCGAAAGCTCAGCAGCCTTGGACCTTGGGCCTTGAGGCGCGCCAGCCCGCGTGCGCTCAGGTGCAACTTTGCAAGGCTGGGCTCGGGACATCCAAGAGCTTAGGGCATGTTTGTATTGAACCTTTGGAGAAAAATGCCTCGCATGTAACTTGCCTAGAAGTTGACTGCACCTTGTTTGGTTGCAGACCCGATGGGTTGCCTGTCCCAGGCATCTTCGGCCAGACTCTAGGCGTAGAAAAACGGTCGCCAGGCTCCTACTGCTTCTTTGCCTGGATCAGTACTACTCCAATGATTGATTTGATTGCGTTAGCTATTTAACTACCGTGCATTAACTACTTATAATTAAGGCAAAAGTACATTAGCTATTTTATTAAGGCAAATGTGTACCATTATGGATTAATTTAATATGAATACATATTTATTTCTATTTTATTAGCTTAATAATCTAAAATAAATCTAATTAAAATAATGTTTTTAGATTTATAAATAATTCTATATTTATTTAACTAATTAAAATATTTATACAAATATATTTTTTAGTAAAACTGCAAAAGCTATATGCTAATTATATATCACAAACATTAGTTAACACACTGATATTATGAATATATCCTCTTATTAACATTCTCGGGCACATGCCTCTAACCAAACAACTTTTCTTCAGAATTGCCTCGCCAGGCAAAAACCATCAACTTTTCAGGCAACTTCCGGGCATCACTTTTTACCAGGCAAGTTCCCGGGCTTTAAAGTCGTTGTCTTGGAGTGAATCAGAGAGCAGGCACCTAAAAGCAAACTGAGCAAGGCACGAATGCCCAGTGTGATGGCCATGGCGTGCAGTCTTTTGCATTGCATGGCTGGGCGGGCTCTGCGAGCCCTGTTCGCTTCAACTTACCGTCATATTTATCAACTATGATATAGTATTTTTCTCTCACAATAAATTAGCGAACAGTATTTTTTAGCCTGGCATTTCGACGAAACGTATAGGACCTAAGCCTGTGACCGCACCTTGCTCTTCTCTACTCCTTGTAGCGCACCAACACCAAGGTTGTCAGGATACCCATCCGTATCCTAAATTTGACAATAGTACGATCCTTTCAAACCAAAACAATACCAATCATATCATGTAAAGATATAACTATGGGTTGCATAACAGGAAGTGTTTCACGTTTGACCGGAGTCTTAGTAAATATTACTCACATTTTTGCTTCAAATTAGTTTATTATAAAAATAAAGTTCAGAATTAATTTAATAGTATTTATTTGATACTATAAATATCTATATTTTTTTAGCTATAATTGGTCAAACTTGATGATATACTAAAACATGATACTATTCTAGAATTACATTCTTTTGGAGATGGATGTAGTATATTAACTTTCATCGTATACCGATCCTATGTGAAAGTTCTCATTCGATTGTACATGAAATTTCAAAGTACCCTGATACTATGATCCTATAATACGAAATAATAATGTATGAATACTTTTTAAATGATTTCGTTATGATAAATTCAAAGTTCATGTACATTTAAAATATTGTCAAGAAACCCACTTAAAGTTATAGAAAAAAAGTCAATTAATTAATCAAATCCAATATTATAGGTCTTAAAATAAATCTCCAGAACATATTGCAAATTTTATATAAAAAAAATATTTACTGGAATCCAACAAGATGTCGATAGTACAATCCAAATACCGTGAGGGAAAAAATGATCCACCCTTATCTTAACAATATTATCAGTATCAAGAACCTTAAGTTGGTCTCTACCCACTAAAGATATAATCGTATTCGAATACCACTCGCAAGGTTTTGCAAGATAATAAATTAAAATGTAGGCAATCATTGAAGTTGTTCGGTACTTAGTACAATTACATATACCACTAGCATGCTTTTGCAAGTTGGCAGCTAGCTAGACATGATTTGTTATTATAACTAAGCTAGTAAACTGTCATATACATCAGAGCCTAAGTATGCATGCTAGATATTTTTGTATTTGATAAATGAGGCTTAGTGTTCAACTTGTTTCAGTTTCCTCTAAAATCTCAACTCATTTGGCAACCCACAACATTATTGAATGCACAAGAAGTGGCATATGTGAGGCTGATGACCATATGAACAAACACCGTGAGCACAAGGGAGAGTATAATATATAAAAGGTATAGGGCGACCAGAGGTAGTTGTATCAATAATGTTGTATGTGTGATTCTGAAAGGTGTAACTCATGAGGTAGGAAGAAGGGATGCATGAAGAAACTTATATGTTCATACAGTTATTGTGCTATTGTGTAAGCAACAAGCAATTTTTCGAAGAAAAAGCAACAAAAGGCATATGTGAAGGCTAGATTTTTTTGGTTTTGCAAATGAAAGGAAGAATTATATTAAAATGTGGCATAGTATATCCTCAAATTACTCATTAAAAAACCTAAAATAAAAGAAAAGATATAACATTTTATCTAGGTTCCTCCTGTCGTCTTCTTTCTTAATGGCTTTTGTCGATACTCTAGATGAACAGAGCTCCATAGAACACTAAATCCATTGACCAGCTGTAAACCTTGAACACTGAAAGGACCTTGGATGCCGCCTAGAGGGGGTGAATAGGCGTTTCTGAAAATTAACACCTTTAGATACGAAAACGATTAGTAAATGGAGTTTCCAAAATGGAAACTCCAAATAAAGAGTAATACCGCCCCTCACAAGTTAGACACAGAGTATACAAGGTATAAAGAATATATCTAGAAGCTACAACCCTGCAACACAAAGTTAGAACAGAGAACAAATATATTCAGCACAGACAGGAAATACCGGACGTGTCCGGTATCTATACCGGACATGTCTGGTATACACAGTTTCTGCAGAGCAGCCCCAAACTTGCTCCTTTCGATTTCTATCTTCAAACCAAACTGCAGGTATCTACTGGAGATGACAATATACACAGAGAACCTGCACAAGAGCTAGAGCAACACAAATATCGAATGAAATGCAAATTGAGACACGATATTTGTTTTACCGAAGTTCGGACTCGTTCGAGTCCTACTCTCCGTTGAGGGGGCTACGGGCGACCCAGTGAAGGTCAGCCCTAAAGGGTACCACGAAGATCACTCTAGCCGGAGTCTTTTCCAACTCCTTTTCCTCCTTCCACTAGTTGATTCCGAAGCGGCGGAATCGACCGTTACAAACTTTCCGAGGCACACCATAATCTCTCGGGTGCTCTCTGGCGACGCATAGCCGTCTAGGACCAAAGAGTCTAAGAGTAACAAATGCAAATCACAAAATAGACAATATGCACAAATGCTCAAGTGGTGGTTTGCTCTCTTTTTCAAATTCTCTCTTAACCCACAAATGGATTTTACGAGCTGGATCACACACTCACTAAGAGAGGGTTTGAGAGAGTTGGCAAGGCTCAAAAATGTGTATGTGTATTAGTAGAATCAGCAGCCTCCAAAGGTGGAGGCTTGGGGGTATTTATAGCCCCCTTGGAAAAACTAGTCGTTTTATAGCCGTTGCCATACATACCGGACACGTCCGGTATGATGTACACTGCGTCAACAGTAACTGAGTTACAGTGACGTTGTGAGGCGTCGAAACTCCCGATGAATGCCGAAACTTCCGACCGTCGAAACTCCCGACTCACGTCGAAACTCTCGACCCTCAGCACATTTGAAAACTATGGTAACTGAGTTAAAGTATGTGAGGTGTCGGAACTCCCGACGCATGCCGAAACTCCCGACTCACGTCAGTACTCCCGACCCTCAAGGCATTTGAAAACCAGCCGTTGGCCTCTGGCCGAATACCGGACACGTCCGGTATGATCAGGATAGTGAACTCTCCAAGTCAGTTAAGCGCGAGACGTCGGAACTCCCGACCATTGCCGGAACTCCCGATCGTCGAAACTTTTGACTCACGTCGGAACTCCGACGAACCAACCCGAGAACAACAACTCTACCATTTGTGGGCAAATACCGGACACGTCCGGTAATGCCAGACCAGCAAAAATCAGTTAGCTCTTTTGTCTCTCAAACACTCAAAACTCACATGGGTTGGCATGAGCACTTAATCAACATGATGCATCCCTTTTAATAGTACGGCATACCTATTAAACTCAAGATCAAAGGAAAAACAAATTTATACCACTTGAGTTGATATCTTTTGAATTGATGCCGTCTCTTTCAATCTTCATCAAGTAAGGGTGCTAACATGTTGATATTTATCTTTTCACTTGAGCATAGCCATCTTGAGCACGTGACTTGATTCCATTCATCAAATATGAATAATCCCAAATGTATCAAGTCACTTCCATCAAACACTCCAATAGTGATTTGATCCTCCACATCAACATGACCATCATAGCTTGATTAGTACATCAACTAAATGCAAGTACTTCCTTCTTCACCCTAGCTAGTGTGGCAGAACCGCCGAATCTAATGCCTCACAGGAGTGCTTGTCTTTCATTAGACACTAAGCACTCGAGGGAGAACACTAAATTACTCGAGGGAGTGCTTTGCTTGCGTGCTTTCCTGGTTGGAGATTCCCTACCACGTATTTTATCTTCTCTGATCGCTAGCTGTCCGTTGGACCTGCTAAGACTGGGAGGAGCAGGGAGCGGACGGCGACATCTCGACAAG